CAAAAAAAAAAAAAAACAGATGCACTTGCCTATCTATTCCAAGGACTTTATTTTCCAGTATGCTTTCGGCCTCGCTTGACTGATGGTGGTGGTTTCAAACAATCGTCTTTCTTCCCCTGATACATTGCAGCTCTTTCTATCGTCAGTTTTTTTATCCCTTTCTTCTTTATTAGCCCTGGTATAGCTAAAATAATCTATTTCTGCTTTATCTATGTTGTTCTCCAATGCTGTTGTTGTTCCTTACAGTGAGCATTTTTTTTTGGATTTTTTAGTTGGACACTTAGATTGGTATTATGCTTATTGTTAAGTTTGCTTGTTTTTATCCCCTTTCTTTTTATTAGTCCTGAATATAACTAAACTCATCTATTTCTGCTTTATCTTTGCTATTCTCCGTACTGTTGCTGATTTTTCCATTGACCATTTTTTGCAATTCTTTAATGGCTTGCTTTTTCTCTTCTTGTGGAATATTTAGCTTGGTTTTATGCTTGTTGTTTAATCTGTTTGTTTTTTTTCGTATGTTTTTCCTTAGGGAACTTTTTGGTACTTTCGTTTTGCTACATTCTCTTTCACTGTGTAAGATTGCTAACTTTTTATGTATGTGTTCTTATCTTTTTAATTCCTTGGGCTCCGTTTAGTTAGATTGGTGATTGTACACCTTGTAAACTGCACTTAAGTGTACTCTATACATGTTTCTGAATACATGTGTCCATCCATGAACAATCTTCTCTTAATTTTTCCTTTAATTTGAATATTTCTTCATGTTTCCTTTTGTTTCTGGTTGGGTTTTTTTCAGGAATGTATAGTGATTTTTTTTGGAAAAGGGTGCGGCTTCCTGGCTAGAGTTTTACGGCAGATTAGAGTTGTAAATAGGCTACTTTATTTTGTTGTCCATTAGGCTATGTTGATATGAATTTGGATTCATTAGATGTGTTTCCCACTTTAAATTGATTGCCGTATCTTGCCTTTGAGGTTCATTCTTCCCTTCGAGCACCCGGAATTTCAATCCTTGCACCTTGGGATGTATTTCTTTAGAAAAATTTGCCTCGTGCATTTAATTTGTTTTTTCCCTCACTCTCGATATTATGTTTGCATGCCTTTTTTTTCCCGCTGCTCCTCTTTTGCTCATTCCAAAGCATTTCCCTTTTGTTGTGTCGTTTTGCATATTCGACCACTGCAACTCCGCAGTCTTGACCTGCCTTCCTTTTTTAATTTTAAAGCTGTCCATGGAGCCTCTGCACGTGTCCGAGGTTCATAGTTCGCTGTCCCAGTGGACATCTGTTATCCTGGTTATGGAAGCTTCTTGTACTAAAACTACCCATGCAGGCCGTGCATCAAAAATTTACCGTCGCTTCGTCTTTTCTGATTCGCACGTAACGCATTGTTTTTTCCCTTCTATTCTTCTTCTGCTTGCTTCTTATCTTTCTGCTGTTGTTTTTTAACTGTTTTTTATGCTACTGTTGTTGATAGGGTGTGAAAGTTTCTGCTGTTGCCTTTGATGATAATGTTGCTCGTATTGAAGGTTTACTTCTTCCTTTCAAGAAATACTGCATTGGTGGCGCTTCTGTTGAGGAAGTTCCCAGACCTGCTTCTCCAGATTTGTACCGATTCTTTTGGATTCTAACCAGGGATACTTTGATCAAGGAGGTTTTTGAACCAGAAACGCCAAGCCTTCCGCCTTATTTTGATCTTACACCTTTCACCTCGTTCCAGCATTTGGCTGACAGCCACGTCTCTATAAGTTGGCTATTCTTTTGTTCTTTCTTTTGTGTTATCCCTTTTCCCCCTCCCTTCACTTCATTCTGCTTGTCGAGTTCTGCTCATTTGATGTCATTGCCTTACTTTCCAACAGACATGATGGGAGTTGTTTTGCATGCTTTGCCGATAAGGGAGTCCCGTTTTGATCTACCCTCTGTTGTTACGAGAGACTACGTTGTTGTTGATAAGAGGTTGTTCTCGCTGCTACTTTTCCTGGTTACCATTTCTTTTTTTTTTCTGTATTGATTGGCTTTTTTTATTTGTTTTCTCCAGCAATATGCCTATTCTTTTGACGCTGACTGGTGATCTTGAATCTGAAATCGGAAATGCTATATCGGATGCGCTTGCCTCCATTGAATCGAAACCGGTTATTATTTATATTAGAGTCAGGGTTAAGACCAACGATTGTTCGTTCCATACCTTATAGCCATCTGGAGTAGTTCAATTCATTTTTTTTCCTGCTTCTTATTATATGCTCCATTCTTTTCTCGTTCAGATTTATCCCTCTGTACTACGCCTACTTCGGTTGTTTTGATTTCTCCAAGAGTTCTCGAAGCCACACATCTTGAACAATGGTTGTAAATTCCTCCTTTCTGCAGTTCTGAAGGAGATTTGTTCCCTCTTTCCCTACCCATGGCAGGCTTGGCTTATCATTACTGTCTTCTATCTGTCTCCCATGTAGGTACCGCAGCAATCGTTCTGAACTAATGACTTCTGTTTTGGAGGAGAGATACTGCAACCCCCTTCTACTTCTTCCTCCTGTTACCGACGCCATGTTGTCTACTGTTTCTGGAGTTGTCGCAACAGTTCGATTTGTTAGGCGCCTTCCCTGTTGTTTTATTTTTTTTTTCATTTTTCCCCCCTTCTTTTCCTGCGTTATCCCCTTTGCTGTTTTTGTGAAAATGCTTGTTTTTTCCTTATAGCCTATGGGTGCTTCATGGATTAAGGGCCGCGTTACTGTAGATCGGTTGCATCGGCTCTGGCATTTGGCCTGCCCGTACTGCTTTGCACCTAACAACTTTATTGAGACTCTAGGGATTTCTTGTGTTACCTGTCTTACGGACCTTTATACCTTTCCTAGGTGCAGTTATGCCGCTTATTGGCTATGTTTTGCTTGTGTTTACTCTTTTCCTGCTGTTTGCTTTGACTTGGTGAATATGTTTCCCCCTGTTGCTCCTTGAATCCTAATTGACTTATCTTCTACTTCCAGAGCACGTATTAAGTTGACTGTTACTGATGGTACTGCATCCATCAATGTCATTGCCCTGGGCTATGAAGCTGAGAAACTAATAGGCTTTACTGCATACCAGCTTAGTCAAGCTGAACATGAGGTTTCCGTCAGTTTACTTATTTATGAATGCTTTTTCCTTACATGTCCTGTGCGATGCATCTATTTTACTGGCATCTGTTGTTCTTTGTAGGGCGTTACCCTGAACCTCCGGGTTGCCGATGCTCTCGATGGAAGAGTTTTGTGCTGCTATGTTAGCCGTTCTCCTGAATCCATTCAGTTGACTGGGGTCAACTTTATTATTGTTACATCTTACTGGGTTTAGAAACTCTGCCTGTAATAATTATATAGCATTTAGCTTTCCTAATCATAGCTTTATACTTAATAGGCTACTTTGTCCAGTTATCAGTGGTTGATGGCTTCTGTAATGTGATGCTTTATATCTTTCGTAAACGCCCGTTGTTCAGGCACCTCCCCCCCTCACCTCTTCTTTTTAAACGATCTCGACATACTTCTCCGCCAAAATGTAGCTTGCTCTGGTTGCACGAAATGCACCAAAACTCTTTCAAATCAGTCGTCCTTAATGGACAGCTCTATGCTCCCTGACCAAGTCATTAGTTTCTGACTTTGGGGTGTCAGTACCCATTCTTCCGGTTTTAAATGCGTGCCTAATAGTAATAGGCCCGGTCTCTTTTTTTTCCCCTTCATGGTACGTATATGGCTTTCTTCGATCAAAAAAATAAATAAAAACTCCCTCAGAATTAAATCTAGCTGCTCAATTGGAGGGGTGGGCCATGCTGCCCTTGAACCTCTGCCACATATCGTACCTCTAAATTCATCAACTTGTTGCTGGGGGGAAGGAAGAGACGTATGTCTTTCCTCCATCAAAATTAAATCTAACTACCCAATTGGAGGGGTGGGTCCTGTTGACCGTTTACCTCTGCCACAAATCAGATCCTATATTTATTTGGACTGCGCTGACTTTTTCTTTTTCAACTTCCTACGTGCTCAGCTCGTCTTTGCTTTGTACAAAAACATGCATGCGTTTTTTTTTTCTGTTCCTTGTTAAATGTATTTCAAAAAACTTTCTGTTTTTATGTATCTGCACGATTGCCAACTTACTGGAACAAAAAAGAAACCTCTGCGCCTTGGAACTCTTCTACCAATGGGTTCTATATTTGTGCTTTACTGGCTTGTCTGCTTCAAGTTCTGTGAGCCTGTCCGGTGGCCAACCCTGGTAAGTTGTTTTTTTGCATCTTTTACGTTATCTTTTTCCTTCTTTTTTACCTCTCATTAGCATTATCGAGCTCACTGTCTTTGTTTTATCCTTTGCATTTGTTCTCTCCAGCGAGGAACTCTTCCATGCCTGCTTGATCTGCGCGTCCCTGTGGTGACTACTCTCCTCCATTTTTTCCTTCTTTCCTTCTTATTTGCAACCAGGTTTGACTTTTTTGTTCCATTTGTTTCTCCTCTTTCACTCCTTCTCAGTTGTCCTTTGCAAAATCACAAGGTTGTTTCCTCCACGTTCTACTCTCTTTCTGCCTCCTGCTCTACGTAAAGGTACTTTCTTATTAGTTATTTCTCCTGTTTCATTCTTGCCATGCAGAACCCCTTGTTCCGTTTCTTCTTTTACGTTTACAATTTTTTTTTTTTGGTCCACTGCTTCTTCTCTCTTCTTTTTTCCTCCCACACTATTGAATCTCATTTTCGTTTCCATGAATGCTAGGAATCTGCAGGCCTTTTACTGATTGTATTCATTATTTTTTTTATGACTTGTTTGCTTGCCTTGCATGGCTCTCGCTTGCTTGCCTGGTTCACTGATAGCCTGTTAGCTTTATTTTTTCCCTCCCTTACGTTTAATATGCCTGTGTTTTTATCCTCCTTGCTGATATTGTATCGCACATGCAATTTAATGTATATTTTTTTATTTCTGTTTCTTCTTTTTCGTCTTTCCTTTTTTCCCCCTCTTCATAACCTTTTAGGGACCAAAACAGCCTTTTCTGCTCCTCTTTCCTTTATGGATCGTAATGCCGTTCGGCGCAAGCGTTATGCTGATATGCCACAACATTTAAAAGATGCAATGTTGCGGCGAAGGAGAGAAAAATATGCTGAACAGAAAGCGCAATCCTCTTCGGTTCATGCTCCTAACTTGACTGTTCATGAGCATAACCATTCCAGACAGGACAGTGAGAAATTTACTTCCAGGGCTGGTCTCGATTCTAACTGTTCTGCATTGTCAAGTTCGAACGACCAGCCATTTCAGCCTGCTAATATTCAGTCATCTACTGCTATCTCTATCTCGTCTCAACAAGCACCTCCTCCAGTTCCTTCACCCCATCCCTCGTTTCTGCCTCATAGAGGTATAGTCTTTTCCCAGGCAACTATCCACTTATAAAATGCAGCCACAATACAACACTTCTTTTTTTAACTATCTCTTCCATTGATTCTCCTGCTACTCAATCCCGTTTTTTCTACCCTTTTCATAATTTTTTTTTGTTCATGATTTTTATCTTTTTCTTCCGCTCTTGTCAGCTCGTGATGCTATGAACTCTGAAGAAGTCTCTCCCTTCGTACCACTTTCCCCATCTGTTTCTCCATTAGATAGGATTGCTAAACGTAACTTGGTTAGTCCGCACCTAGCAGATGAAGGTCAATCTGCCAAGAGGTTAAAGCCTATCGCCACGCGCCTGTCCCGTTTAGACAAGATTCCATCTAAACCCCTTGTCCTTCCTGATGTACCTTGTTGTAGTCATTGTGGTGCAAAGAGGTTCTACCTTGAACCTCCAGGCTTTTGTTGTTCAAACGGAGGCGTTTCACTTGTGCAGCATGCAATGCCTTATGATCTCATTCGTCTTTTCACTGGAACGGATGAGGAAAGTAAAGAATTTCGAAGGAATATTCGCACGTTTAACAACAATCTTGCTTTCACTACATTTGCTGCAAGATATGATAGAAATCTCACAAAAAATAGCAAGGGGGTTTACACCTTTCGTATACAAGGTCAAGTCTATCACTTCCTTAATAGCCTCGTTCCTTCAGCCTCCTCTCCTACTGGTATTCAGCTGCTGTTCTATGACTACGATGATGAAGTGTCCAGGAGACTTCAAGACTCGCCCCGTTTGCGAGTGGACACTCTTAAGTTTCTAATGAATATACTTCAGACAAATCCTTATACCAAGTTCTTTAAGAGTCTTCGTGAAATTCCTCACCTTGAACACCATCGGATCATACTCAATTCTGATCCAGGGTTGGATCAGCGAGTATACAATCTTCCAGCTACTTCTCAAGTAGCTGCAATCTGGACAGAGGACGATGATGCCGAGCTCGAGAAAAATGTTCACATTCAGGTGTACAGCCATTCGAGTTCCAGCCATAGGATACAACATTATTTTGCTTGTTATGACCCCTTGCAGTATCCGCTATTGTTTCCTCGTGGGGAGTCTGGCTGGCATCATGGTATTCCAAAAAAAACTGTTTCGCATCCAAAAAAAAGAAAACTTGAAGAAATTGATATGCTGGACGATGTTTCCCTGATTGAAGGACCTTCTGAATTGATTAATCTCGAGAAAACAGGTATTATCGTGCATAAACAGACATAAAAAACAAACTTTCTCCAGCCTAATCATAGGTCCGCCTATTGAAAACGCTTCCTGTACTTTTTATTTTTTTCCCAGGTGCCGAGAACAAGAAGACAAAACGAGACACTGTGTCCGCTAGGGAGTATTACTGTTATAAATTTCAGATAAGGGATAGTGATAGGTCGATGTTGTTACATGCAAGGCGTCTATTACAGCAATTTGCAGTTGATGTTTATGTTAAAATTGAAACGTCGAGGCTTAATTTTCATAGAAAAAAACAGAACGAAATTAGGTCCGAGATCCTTAAGGGAGTCATTGATAGCATGTCTGTTGGCTGTACATCTGGGAACCAGGTTGGACGTAGAATATACCTGCCAGCTTCTTTCATTGGTGGTCCAAGGGATATGAGACGTAGGTACCTAGACGCTATGTCTCTGGTACAGAAATATGGTAAGCCCGACCTGTTCTTGACTATGACCTGTAACACAATGTGGAAAGAGATACATGATAACTTGAAGTATGATGAGGAAGCTCAGGATAGACCAGATTTGGTTGCTAGAGTGTTTCGTGCGAAGTTTGAGGTGCTAAAAACAGAGATAGTTAAAAAGAAACTGTTTGGTGAAGTTGCAGCTTTTGTTTATGTAATTGAATACCAGAAAAGAGGCCTTCCTCATGCCCACATTCTGGTGATTTTGAAACCAGAAGCTAAACCACTGAATCCAGAGACATACGACAAAATGGTTTCTGCTGAGCTGCCCGACCCAAATGAACAAAGTTACTTGTACTCCCTTGTTATAAAACACATGATGCACGGCCCTTGTGGATCGCTGAACAAAGACAATGTCTGTATGCGCAATGGAGTGTGTAAAAATCATTACCCAAAGGAGTATATTGAACATACTACGCATTCTGAAGATGGCTACCCGCATTATAGGCGAAGGAATAATGGCAGGTCCGTTAGAGTGAGAAACCATTCTTTGGATAATAGATGGGTTGTCCCCTATACTCCATACCTGTTGGCTCTTATAGATTGTCACTTAAATGTCGAAATCTGTTCCACTGTTAAGCTGGTCAAGTACTTGTACAAATATGTCTATAAGGGGCACGACCGAGTAAGCTTTCACATATATTCTGAGAATGATCCAGAAGATATAGATGAGATCCATGAATTTCAGTCTGCTAGATGGGTATCAGCTGCTGAAGCAATGTGGCGCATTTATAGGTTCCCGTTGAATGAAATGACGCCTTCCGTTTACACACTTCAGTTGCATCTTCCAGGAGAACAAGTTGTTTCTTTCCACAAGAATACGAATCTGTCGAATCTGGTTGATAGTACAGATTTTACTAAGACGATGCTGACTGAATTTTTTGCCATGAACGGGCGCAGTAAACAGGCACGTAAACTGAAATGCCTGTATCGAGAGTTTCCAGAGTACTTTGTTTGGCACCCTAATAAGAAAAAATGGACTTGTAGAAAGCGTAGAAAGGTGATCGGCCGAGTGGTTACTGTCCGTCCCAACGAGGGCGAACGATACTTTCTGAGATTGCTTTTATCTCATGTTCGTGCGCCAAAATCATTCGACCAGCTTCTCACTGTCGATGGACAGCTTGCATCTTCATATCGAGAAGCTGCCTTTCGAATGGGCCTGCTCCAGTCTGATACCTACATAGAGGACACTCTTGATGAGGCCACTGCCTTTCATATGCCTTGTTCACTTAGAGCCTTGTTTGTCATGTTACTTGTTTTTTGTACTCCTTCCAATCCCATCAAATTATGGGAGAAATATGAAGCTGACTTGTCCAGTGATTTAGAAAGAACGAGCTCTATAACCGGCTGTGATTCTAATTATGTCAGGAGATGTGTGCTACAGGACATAAATAGATCCTTGGAGCAGATGGGTAAACACGTACGTGATTACCATCTTGTTCCTGACAGTTTTCTATTTACTGAGCATGAACGCTTGACCAAGGAAATCGAAAGTGAGCAAAGCGTGCGTTGTACAGAAGACGATTTGCTGACTGTTTCTCGGCTGAACGCTGGTCAGCAAGCTGCATATAGTGCCATTATGTCTGAGATATTTTTACCTAATGGCAAGAGTTTCTTTGTCGATGGACCTGGAGGAACAGGTAAAACCTTTTTATATCGTGCTTTGCTTGCTACTCTGCGGACACATGGCCATATAGCGTTAGCGGTCGCATCGTCAGGTGTAGCAGCCTCTATTCTTCCTGGAGGGAGAACTGCGCACTCGCTCTTTAAACTCCCTCTTGATGCATCAGCTACTAAGGCTTGCCAGATTAGTAAGCAAAGCTCGACTGCTAAACTGATTGTCATGGCTAAATTAATTCTATGGGATGAAGCTTCGATGGCGAAGCGAGACGCCATTGAAGCATTCGATCTGCTCCTTAGGGACATCATGGATAGTGATAAGCCGTTTGGCGGTAAGGTCGTGGTTTTTGGCGGTGACTTTCGTCAGACTCTCCCGGTTATTCAAAATGCAACAAGAGATATTCAAGTTCAGTCCAGTTTTGTTAACTCTGCTTTGTGGAGCAGTCTACAGAAGGTCTCTCTTAAAGAGAATATGCGAGCTCTTCTAGACAGCCCGTTCTCAGATTTCCTTCTTAGAGTAGGAGATGGAACTGAGCCAGAAGATGCCGATGGAAAAATAACTCTGACCAATGACATGTTAGTGCCATACGATGAAAAGGAAAAATCTCTTGACAGGTTATGTTCTGCCCTGTGCCTTCTATATATATATATAGTATAGTGCGGTGCCACTTTATAGTATTTACTTGAGCGTTGCTACGCTGTTTCATGGGTTATAGTACATAAAATAATATGTTTTCTGTCTGGGAACTTGGTCGCACAGGTTAGTGGATTCAGTGTTTTACGACTTACGGATTTATTCCTTCGACCCCTATCTAATGATCAATAGGTGCATTCTCTCCGCAATGAATAGTGCAGTTGATGATATAAATCAGATGATAATTGATCGCTTCCCGGGTCAGCCTTTTACGTATACAAGCACTGATAGAACACTTAATGAGCGAGATCAAGGAGATTACGAAGATTTCCTTAATTCTTTGAATCCAAAAGGCCTCCCTCCTCATAAGTTAACCCTGAAGAAAAACAGTCCTGTCATTTTGATGCGTAATCTGAACCCGGCTGAAGGCCTCTGCAATGGAACTCGGCTTATTTGTAGAGAACTGAAGCAAAATACAATTTGTGCCGAAATTGCTGTCGGACAGCATCGAGGGAAAAAAGTCTTTCTCCCAAGAATTCCGCTTCAGTCATCCGATAATGAAAAGAACGGAATCCCTTTTAAGAGGACTTAGTTTCCAATTAAACTCTGTTTTGCGATGACCATTAACAAGTCACAGGGTCAGACATTGGATTACGTGGGAATTTATTTACGCGAGCCTGTGTTTTCTCATGGACAACTATACGTTGCTCTTTCTCGTGCAAAAACTGCGGCAGCTGTCAAGGTCCTCATCGTGCCAGGAACTTATAGTGATTCTGTTACTTGTGTCAAAACAAGAAATATTGTTTATCGTGAGGTCTTGCAGTTAGCTAAACAGTAATTTTTTTCCCCTTGGTGAGCTTTTCTGACTTGGCTCCTTAGTGGTTTGGCCATTGTATTTTTAATCTTTTGTTGTTTAAGCTTGTTAACAACTACTTGTGATGTATTTGCCACTTATATGTAATTGGTGTGTTCACTGTAGGATGTCTGAGTTCCTAAAGATTGCTGATATCAAGCCAAAAATGCAGAATTGGTCTGCCAAGGTTTTTGTCAAAGAAAAAATGCATCCTGGTTCTGGCAAGACCAGCCCAACAAGATATCAGAAATTTGTCCTTTCTGATTCAGAGGTCTGTTTAATTCATCGCTGTATTAGCCAGGCACTTTTTCCCCTTTCTCAATCCACCTATGCCAAGGGGCCAAGCTAACCTGATCTATTGTTTTTTATTTATGGCAGGGTTCTACAGTCCAAGGAATCCTTTTCAACAATGCTATTGAGAAGATGGGCCCAAAGTTACAGCTGTATAAAAGGTATCGCATCACCAATGCCGAAGTAAGGGAGATAGAGAAGAAATACCAGTTTGATGGAATAAACATCCAGTGGGTTATCAGCACTCGTACTGTTGTTGAAGAGGATAACGATGAAGATGGCTCCGTCTTGCCCTTCCATTTTGATTACATCCCTTTTAGAGACTTCCCGCTCTTTGTTGATTCGAAGAACAAAACTGTTGGTAATCTAACGTTAAGTTGCATGCCTGATACATTTGCTAGAATCATCAAATCCTCCTTTCAAATAGCTAACACTTTTAAATCCTTGATATTAGATGTCCTCGGAGTGGTCATCGATGTACAATCTGCTGAGCCAATCAAAATTCAATCGCAGGATTCATATGTCCAGCGGTTTGTAATCGTTAACGAAGAGTAAGCTTCTAAAAAAACCTGTTTTGCTGCGGATTGTTCCTTCTTTTCTCCACATCGCTTACAGGTTCAGGCAGATATGTTGTGATTCGTTACAAAACTGATCGTATAATTTGGAAAGCAGAATGCAACCTTCTCTTCAAATTATCGCTTACGAATACAGTCTGTGTCTTACGGTTTATTATAACACTGATCATACGCTTTGAAAAATAGAATGCAGCCAGTTGTTCTCTCTCTCTGGAACAGGTTTGTTGAAACTGAAGGCAAGGTTCTTATGCAGTTGCTTAAAAAGAGGCCAGTTCTTATTTGCCGCAGGGTCAAAGTTGTCTCTTACAATGGTATTCTTCCTTCATTTGCTTATCAAGTTGTCTCTTTTTAGGTACAGCAAAGTTCACAAATGATACTAATATGGGGATACTGCCTTATCTTTGAATTCTAGCTTCACTATAAGCTGTGACTTTAAATTGGGGAAAAATACATCCAGTTTAGATATCTTCTTCATCAAAAAAGAACCCTGACTTGTGATCATATAAATATCATGCACTCTTCTTTCTGCCAGGAATTGCCCTCTCCACTAGAAACGATTCCGTGCTTCTCATTGATCCGCCTGTTGGAAATGCAAGTCATTTGAAAACTTGGTTAGTTTGGAGTGTTTCTTTTCACCTTCTGCTGATTTCAAAAGTAGCAATTGTATATTGTACCTACTAATTATGTACTTACTTTTATCTTCTATCAAAGGGCCATGAGAAATGAAAGCCAGTTTGCTACACTGGTTCAGGAAAAAACTTATAACATGCATAGTCCCAGGATGTTTCATCAGTCAAAGCACAAAATTTCAACTGTACAGGTTGTTCTCGCAACTCAGAAGGTCATTATATTGAAATACCTGCGCTTTGTTATCAAACTAGAAAATATGCCGTGCATTTTAGTTTTTTTTTTGATGTTCGCAGCTCGCCTGGGTTAAAGCTCGTTTCTGTTTCCAGAACATATTCCAAAAATATTGGTATATGTCTTGTGTTAAATGTCATCGTCAAACATCGGCCAACTATGGCCACACTTTTACCTGCAATCACTGTAACGAAAGGCAGCCTGCGACCCCACGGTAAGCTACATATTCCTGTTTACCGAACATTGATCTGTACTGTTGAAGCATTTACTATTTTTTCATGTTATTTAACCTTCGAACCAGGTGCCGCTTTGATGTTGATCTTAGTGATGATTCCGGCATTATGACAGCTTCGGTATTCGGCGAATTAGCTGAGCAATTGCTTGGCATTTCTGCTGTTGAGGCAATGGAATTTTATAACAAGGTTTATATTACACTAATGAACTGATGCTCTGCTATATAAAACAAAAAAGTGCGTATTATGGAGCCCTTTGTTGCTATTTCTTACACAGCCATTCTCCTGAATTTATTCTCAGAATGAAGAACTCCCGCTGGAACTAATTCATGACGCATTGAAGTCCAAGACATTCATTGCTCAGGTTAAGCCTGGAAATACCAAAGATGATGGGACTTATCAGCGATATACAATTGTTTATTACTTTGAAGACAGCGGAGACCATGACCTTCTTGAGGAACAGCTCCTAAGTAGTTCTCATGTAGCCAGTCAGCTTTCTGTAGCTGATACTCCAGGTAGTTGCTGCATGCTTGGCCATATACTTTTTAAAATGCCCGTTCCCAAATCTTTTTTTATTTCTTTTCGCTTGTTCTGTTGCGCAGAGAAACCATGTTCTTCTCCCAAGAGCCAACTCTGCTTTGATAAGAAGCAACACGTTTCCGAAGCAGAAAGTCAGCCTTCTGCTATTACCATTCCAGGTATCTCCTATCCCTTCCATTAATCACTATTTTTGGTCTTTGTTGGGCTTTGTGTATAGATATGTTTGTTAGGTGTGCAGATACGCCGTGTGGTTCCTCAAAAACACGCGTTTGCCTTGCAAAAAGAATGGAACTCAACGAGGAAGCCGGAGCTACTATATCAGATACTTGTGCCATCGCAAGCAGCAAAAAACCAAAGAATGCTTGATCTGCTTGTCCTCATCAGAACATCTGTTGTTGTTACTCTTTCTGCTGTGTAGGCCTATTTAAGCATATTGTCTTATTACACACTATATCAGCATCCTGCACTTTTGCAGGTTGCGAAAAAACAAGTAATACTTGGTCTATTTGTCCTTATAAGAAGGTCTTCTATCATCACACTTTTGCTCTTGCCCAGCGATCTTTTGTCATTGTATTATCTGCTGTGTAAACTTGTCTCACTGGAGACATATTGGTGACATTTAAACCCTTTTATTTATGGCCTGTTTACAGCTCATCTATCTACTATATGTCATTATGCTTATTTTCCTTATTTGATCCCTGAACTGCGGCACAACTTTCTGATAATCAATTGCAATGCAGAGCCTTTAATATAGCTATTAAAATTGTATCTGAACAAATATCAGTGTTCAGAGATTCTCTATTCTATTTGATATATCTAAACTCTATTCAACTGACATAATCAATTGCTCTGTTGCTATTTTAGAAAATCTAGACACCTCTCTTTATTGCACATACAACCGAAGACCGTGTTGTAGTCTCTCTATTCATTTCTCATTTAACTCATTCAACTACCCTCTCTGATGGCCTTCTTTTCATTACATCATGTATTAAACAACATGGTCTTATAAATAAATCTCAAACATTCATGAAATCATGCTTCCATTTCTTTCTAGCGCCTGTTGCAAAACCCATCACTTTTCCAATGGATAAGCCTAGAAATCCTTTCAAAAAATGGAAAGCAATTGGAACAGATAACATAAAGTTTTTCCTTTGCACATTTGATAAGAAACACATCCATGCTGCAACAACTAAGACATCAGATGAAGGAGCAGCTGTATACTATATCAGCAGAAAATTCATTGAGGACTATCCAATGGTGCTGCAGTACACAGGTGAACCATCTCTATACTCTTTCACTTCCGTCACTCAGTGGTTGCAAAACATCATTGATATCAGTTCAGAAGCTTTTGCAAATACAGGTATATGATCCTGTTTTCCCAGTTTCCATTATTATATGTTCGAATCTTTTTTCGCTCGTCATGAACATAATTTTTATTTTTATTGCTAACTATAATTGTTACAGAAATAGCTGATCAAGAGATATCCCAAATACCAGAAGGAAGACCATGGTGTCACGTTTTCTTTTGCTCAAACAGAGAAAAGCAGGTTACCTGTTCAGATCACTATTATACATTCTTTTAAAACAGATAAATTCACACTAGCTTTTTCCTCTTATAGGAAATCTCTGCTGCTATTTTTCATTCACTTGGTCTTCAAAACGGTCATGCTATTACAATCTACCATGGTATACAGCATTGGCAAATCAACATCAAAGATGGATGTTTCGAACAAGGATGGCATTCCTTCTGCAAAGACAATCTTATCGACGAAAATAATATGGTTTTCTTGCGCACGAAGGGAAATCTTATCTATGATGTTTTAGCTTTCTCAGAGACACAGACTCACATTTTAATGCCTTGGACTCTTCCATTACCAATGCTCACAAACAAAGGCATCTACTTATTTCCTTAATCTTTTTTGTTACAGATAGTATCCTTTTTTTTGGCTTCCAAGGTGTTTAGTATCGCTGATATGCTTTCTTTTGTTACTTTATGAGCAGGCCATGAAGTCCCAGAATCAATCATCCATATTGCCTCGTCTATTAATCCATTCCTAAAACATGATTGGACTGCATTCAATTGCTTTTATCAATTTTATCTATCAAAGTACAAATACAAACTGGTATTGTTTTCCACTTCTTAGGCTTATTAGGTTTCTTTTTTGTGTGTGTGTTAGGAAATAAAGTGTTACAGACCTGAGGCTTGGGCGCTTATTAGGTTTTGTTTTCCACTTATTAG